GGGATACTTGTTAACTTTTTGAATTTAGTGAGTTTATGGACTCTACATCCAAAAATTGCAAAAAAGCTGCCAATGACAGGTTTTTATTTTGTCTCCAACAAATGTCTAGAGCTGAAGTGTGTAGCATTGGTCCACCAATAGCCTGCATTACCTCCTGATCATGTTGGCAAGTTTAGCAGAGGCCTGGCCTTTAGCTGTTTCAGGTGTGTTGGAGCAAAACATGCATGCAAAAGCTACAGGACGTTTTCTACACCTGATCTAGAGCAGCTCTGGTTTCTCACTGAACAGTCAATTTAACTTCATCAGTGAAAACATTTAAAATGTTTGGGAAAAACATTTTCTGACTCCTTTATTATAAATTTGTAAATGCCAATGAAATTTGTCTCCTACGTTTATAAATGCAAAATTGTAGTAAAAATGCAAAATTATAGTAGTAGGAATTACGTTTTATATACCTAGAAATGTTAATACATTTTAAGTGGCCATTTTAACATTCATCTGCTTGACTGAATATGTATTTATATCTGAAATACATTTATTCCTAATCAAAATAATACAAGTTATGACCAGTAACAATAGGAATATGGCATTCTGGATTTTATTTCTAGACATCCAGAATGTTTATTTTAGAAATGAAGACTGTCATTTTGTTTGAAATGGTCATGTTGACAAGAAAAATTTGTGTTCAGAAATACATATTCAGGAAAAACTAACAAAAATCCAAACCACCTGCTGAAGCCTCTTCTAATCACGATAACATTACGAGGAGAGATTACTTAAGTTAGATGGTAGTGAATCTATGTATTATATTCTGGTGTAATCTCCCAGGGGAGAGGCACACCTGACAGCAGGTGAAGATGAAGTATAAAAACATTGTTTTAACAGGTAGGACCTGTGCATCATCTCATGGGGTTCCTCCTCTTATTTTACTTCTCTCATTACTGAGTAAGTAGCTGTTTGGCTGTGCAGTTGTTTTCTATAACGCTGCTATCATACATTAATGTTTTGTTAAATAATAGTATATTTAATAATAATAAATCTATGTAATGTTGCTAATGTTAGGACGGGTAAGTTCATGGATATATGTGGTGGATTGTGAGGTAAAACAGTAGAGCTCATAAAGATAAATCTCAGAATTTGAGACGTAAGCGGTCTGAGAACAGGCACCAGATTTTTCATTTATGTACAAATATGAAGATAAAAGTGTTCATTGACGGTTTACATGCCGGCTGATTGTAGCGTACTTATCACAGCTTACGGTGTAACGCGCTGACGTTGATAGAGTTGTTTACTACTTTTTAAACATCTTTTGTATGTGTTCCCTTAGGACCTGGGCTTCCCTGTGGTGAATGGAGGAGACAATGATTTTGTGCTGAAAAAAGCCGTCAGTGATGGAGACATAAATACTGTTCAACAACTGTTGGACAATGGTAGGTACTTCCTGTACTACCAAGATGAAATTGAATGAAATAATGAAATTCAGAGAAAACTACTATTAGTTAGCATATTCCTCACTTCAGCATGTTTTTATAAATTAAAAAGGATTAATCAGTGTTTTTTTTTTTTTTTTTTCCCAGTTTATACTTTAGGGATACATACTGTAGGTACAAAAATCTGGGTTGATTTCCCTTCCTTTTGGGGTCTATTAAAAACTAACCGCAGTGCGGACTTACTAACTTCTGCATCACGAACACGGTCACATCAACAACTCTCCGTCACCCCTTTCTAAAACTAAAACAGCAGCTATATGGATAAAAGCACCGGCTATTGATATGTGCCCAGTTTTACTAATTGGGTCAGATATGCTTGAAAATGACCAAAATCGCCGTTATTGATGCCAATAGATCCTTAATTGTTTAAAATGCATGTGCACTGTTTAAGCAAGAGATGAATATTTTGGTATATTACAACACAGGCTTAAATTAAAATGTTAGTTTTGTGGTTGCCATGACCCACATGACTGAGTATTTACACAGACATTCTAGTATATTGTTACTGGATCTCTAGTTTCAGGTTCAGTTATGTAAATTTGATGATTTGATTCTAATGTTGGACTGAATCACATCAGATTAAATTACTTTACCCACAATAAACCCCTAATGGATTTTACTTAATTGAAATGTACCTGTGAGAGTAGATGAGCCTTTTTTTTTTTTTTTTTTTTTTACTTAATTGAAATGTACCTGTGAGAGTAGATGAGCCTTTTTTTTTTCCCCATAGTAATACATCCAACCGAAAAGTAGCATTTCATCAGTTCTTAGTGGAAACGAGAGCTGTCCCTCTGCTTATTGTTAAGTTTATGATTTTGACAGGCATGGACGTGGAAACCAAGCTGAGTTATGGCTGGACCCCCCTGATGTGTGCAGTCAGTCTGGCAAACTACAACCTGGCAAAGCTGCTTCTGGACAGAGGAGCCAGTGCCAACTTCAGCAAAGGTTAGACCACTGAGATTATTGTGACGAGTGCGCTGTAAAATATGATCAAACCTGCTGAATGTCACCTAAAAAGAGACAAGAAAAACACTTGATGTTTGTTTCTAAAGATAAGAAGTTAGCCTGTGGCTATATGCTAATTGAAAAATTTGCTAGAAAGCATAACCTGAGAAAACCCTCAAAACTTCTGACTTTTAAGTTGAAGGGCTAAAAGTAGGAAGCTTAATGTTTATAATTTGAGTTGTGAATATATCAGCATTCAGAGGTCAGACATGTAATGTTGATAGTTGTGACACGGGTTTACCTTTTTCTCTGAAAGAACCAGTGCAACAGCCTGGGGACTCCTTAAAAAGTAGATCTGATTCACTGTTTACCTGATTAGATGTATTATTTTTTTTAATAGCATTTTTTTTTACAGGCATTTCCTTATGCAAGTCATTGTAATTGTTTTAATTAATGGGACATCTTATAGTTTAATGATATATTCGAGCCATGTATTGCACAATCTATTTTGTGGAATATTTTCAGTTTATTTATAACGCCAATTCACAACACATGTCATCTCAAGGCACTTTACAGTTCACCAGACAGTGAGATTGGTTCAAAGTTTTCTATCCAAGGAAAACCAGCTGATTGCATCAACTAATTGTCTAAACAGCAATCCCTCACACCTGCATGCTTTCAGTGATAGTGGAGAGGAAAACTCCCTTTTAACAGTAAGAACCTCCAGTAGAAC